AGTATGCAGATCTAGGGGCTGCGCAGCATCGGACACAGATTATGGCGATCCGTAGACGCGAGCGCCATATGTACGGGGAGTAATGGAAGCCATAAAAATCTTGATACAAACCTTGCTTCAGTTCATCCAAGGTGAAGCTGTCAATGGTCGAGCCTTTCCCCCACTCTCCGAAATTCTCATTTCTGTCCGCCGTGATATTCTTACCATCTGCGGCGTTTAATAACCAGCCGTGCGCGGGGGGGATTATGACCGTGAATCGCAGCGCGTCCGCCGGGACGTCCAGGTCTTCCGCGTTCAATGTGGCCGGCCCGATCTCGCAGCTCCCCCCTTCAATGATCTAGGTGGGAATAAAAGGACATAAATGAGGTTCATGGATCAGACCCCCTCCCCCGGAGGTCACTTTTAATCATTATAATATCCTGACAATTATAAAGTTGCGTGAACACAGAAATGTGTTTTTTAGTTTTTGATGGGGAAGGGTTAGAACCCCTGTCAGGTCTGTGTTCATATGAAAAAGAATTCTAATTCTGACATCCGGCCTCCCCTTCAGTATCTGACCTCCAGCCTTATATCTGGAGGTCAGACCTTATATATGACCTCCAGCTTCCCCTTCAGTATCTGACCTCCAGCCTTATATCTGGAGGTCAGACCTTATATCTGACCTCCAGCCTCCCCTTCAGTCTTCTATCTGACCTGCGTCCTTCCCTTCAGTCTTTTATCTGACCTCCGTCCTTCCCTTCAGTCTTCTATCTGACCTCCGTCCTTTCCTTCAGTCTTCTATCTGACCTCCGTCCTTAAGTCTTTTCCCCAAAGTACTCCTTAGGGTAACGGGAGGACACAAGCTAGCGTCCTCCCGTCACCCTAGGCTCAGTATATAGAGAGCTGTAGCTCGCGGTATACTGAGATGCCGCAGCTGAAGCGGATCCCGACAATTGTGCCGTGATCCGCCCAGCTGCGCGAGTGACAGCTGGCTCTGCCTATCTAGAAGCAGAGCCAGCTGTACCCTCCCCCCTCCCCCGTCCGTTCCGCCAGTCAGCGCTGGCGGATCAGAACGGGGAATCCAGCCCCTCCCCGGTCATATACCGCGCTGAGCCAATCACGGCGAGCAATGTATTCTATTAAAGGAAAACTATGGGGGTCAGTGTTTTTCCCCATAGTTCTCCTTAGGGTAACGGGAGGACACAAACTAGCGTCCTCCCGTTACCCTAAGCTCAGTATACCGCGAGCTACAGCTCCCTATATACTGAGACGCCGCAGCCGGAGTGGATCCCGACATCGATGTCGAGATCCGCCCAGCTGCGTGAGTGACAGCTGGCTCGGCCTATCTAGAGGCAGAGCCAGCTGTACCAGCCCCCTCCCCCGTCCGTTCCGCCAGTCGGCGCTGGCAGATCGGAGCGGGGAGGGGGGAATCCAGCCCCTCCCCTGTCGTGGCAGAGAGCCGTGATAGGATCGAGAGGTGAGCGAACGCCGGTATGTGTTCGCTCACCTCCCCATGTACTGAGCCGACCTGTGACAGTCTCATTGTCACAGGTCGGCTAGAACTATGAGGCTGAGTGGAAAGCGCCCCCCCCCTCATAGTTCTCCTTTAAACTGCGTGCATTTACAACAATACATTAAATGATGTCATAATGAACACAAAGCTGCATTCATTTGTGTCTTTTATATCTGCCTCGAGTTCACCTTTAACTGCAACACAGTATCTGTTGCCTATTTGGGTGCCGATCGGCGTCCCTCTTTTCCCCGCCTTAGAAAGTCGAACTGGTACGGCGGCATGACCTTCGGCTGAACCCCAGAATCTGGCCGGCCTCGCGGCCCGGATCACGCTGGGATGTTGAGTTCGGAAGGGGTTCTGCTTCTTCCCGGATTCTCTGCTTTGCGGGCGAAACGTTCTGTTACTCTGTAAACACGCCGCGGACTAAATTTAGGCGCGATGTGTGTGGCGCGGGCTTGTTCGTTTGCAAGATCGCTTCCCCCGCGCCTGAAGGGAAACTCTATAAAACCCAGAAAAATCCCAAAAATAAAAGAGTGATACATTGGGTCTAAAAGTAACTTTTTTTTATTACTCGAAGCAAAAACTGAAGTTTCTTTTTTTTAATGCAAATTAGAGGTGCACCGAAATAGAAATGTAAAAACCGAAACGAAAACCGAAATTAAATAAATTGTCGGGCCCGAAAACGAAAAAAAAAATTATTTAAATTTTTTTACATTTTTAAAATATTTTATATAAAACTTTTTTTCCCAACTCCATTGATTTTCGACGCTATGTTTTGACGGCCGATATATCGGTGCATCCGTAATGCAAATACACTGAAATTGCAAGTGGAAAATAGTGATATTCCTGCCACTAGATGGAGCCGAGGAGCACAGGAATTTCCTTATGCTTAAACCTTAAAGATGTCATCACTGGGTCTCTGTGCAATGCAGGTAGATCATGGCTGGTAGGAGGGGCCAGCAGGGTACTTCCTTAAAACATCACAGCAGCTTGCCTCAGTAATCCTTTCAAGATGTAACGGCAGTGATGCGAGGAACCCTAACTCTCTGTTAAAACTGAGAGAGTGAAACCAGGGTTCCATACCTGAGAAGCCTCCGCAGCTGCGATCCACACTACTTCAGTCCATTCAGGCGTTACATAAGACCCCTCAGCCCTGATGCAAGCAGAGGGCTGGATCTTAGGAACAGTTGTGCAAATATCAAAGTACCTTGATGGGCGGTTGTCAGTCTGGAGAAGTGGGCGTTCCTAGTCGGCTCTAAGTAACACTCCATGGCTAAAAGAACTGAAATGCACTAAATGAAAGGGGCGTGGCCAGGGATAGTCAGGCTGGGGAGAAAAAAAAGCTAGATCATGCTGGATGTCCTCCAGCCAGGAAATGAGGCGGAGCTCTAACTGACTTGCTGCAGCTTCTAATGTACATTGTGAGAAGCTCCCAGTGTGCAGTGATATCAGAGGAAGCCATTTCAGTCCAGGAGAGGAGGCGGTACAACTGTGCAAGACTGAAGAGAAGGACGGAGGTCAGATAGAAGACTGAAGGCAAGGACGGAGGTCAGATAGAAGACTGAAGGGAAGGACGGAGGTCAGATAGAAGACTGAAGGGAAGGACGGAGGTCAGATATAAGACTGAAGGAGAGGACGGAGGTCAGATAGAAGACTGAAGGGGAGGACGGAGGTCGGAAGAACAGATGTCAGATAGAAGAATGAAGGGAAGGACAGATGTCAGATAGAAGAATGAAGGGAAGGACGGAGGTCAGAAAGATGACTGAAGGGAAGGACAGAGGTCAGATAGGAGACTGAAGGGGAGGACTGAGATCAGATAGAAGACTGAAGGGAAGAACAGATGTCAGATAGAAGAATGAAGGGAAGGACAGATGTCAGATAGAAGAATGAAGGGAAGGACGGAGGTCAGAAAGATGACTGAAGGGAAGGACGGAGGTCAGAAAGATGACTGAAGGGAAGGACGGAGGTCAGATAGGAGACTGAAGGGGAGGACGGAGTTCAGCTTTTTTTAAAAATGGGGTTTTAGCTCTGTGTTCGGCTCTCCTGGGCTGGGGATGAAGAGAAGTGTAAAGGTTTGTTATAAGCTGTGTAAATGCTCGCTGAGTTCGATGCTCTTCAGTGGGACATTTGTTGGCTAACATTAGACTCTGGCCTCACCAGTAATCCGAGACACACAATGGCAGAGATCTTACCGTGAGGTTCTTGACGTGCAGCTGAGGTTGTTCATCGTTAGTCGGTTTGATGACGATGTAGAAAGGAACGCTCATAGATTTGTGGAGGGAATCGCTGACCGAGATCATGAAGAAGTCCCCTGTGGGTTCTATGCCGCGATGATGGGACTGGACGTAGTGGATGTACCCGGAGGTGGCTTGCTGCAAGCTGAAGGAACCTTGAGAAGAACACAAGTCTAAGTCTGTCTCAGTTTAAAATGTGCCATGCATCCTAAATCTCCTCCACAACTGTCCGCCTTCTAGGTTTTCATCCCCTAGGGTTTCGGATTTGGACGAAATCCGAATTGTTGTTAGTTTCGGATGACTTTATGAATATTCGTTACGACTATCAGATAAAACCATATACAGATATTAATACTAAAGCCGAATCTCCAAGACCCAAATGGCATTCGGGATCTCCCCAATGCAATTCGGAAATTCAAATCCCGATGCCATTCGGGTCGGGGAGCCATATACATATATTACTACAGCTGAGGCTAACAGACCCGAATGGCATTCTGGAGCTCCCGAATGCAATTCGGAAATTCAGATTCCAAATGCCATTCGGGTCTAGGAGCCTCTGCTCTAGTATTATATGTATATACTGTATATGGCTCCCATGTTGCCCTAACGAAAATTCGTGTTCAGACTCATTCGGAATGCATTAAACCGAAAAACGCATCTGATTGGCTAGAAAAGTCACATGTCCTATTCAGTTTCGCTTTTGAACGAAATTTGGACGGGATCCAAAATTCGGAAATGGAAATTCAGATTGAGACACATTCAGATGCATTGGGATTTGGAAATTCGGATGTGTCAGAATTTCGTACAAATTTTGATTCGGAACGAAACAAAATGCACGTCTAGTAAACAGGAGCTGCAACTTTCTCCTGGAGGTCTCTGGGCAAAAGCTTTTATGGCCCTCAGTCAACAGGCCCAATACAGAGGTCCTTCAGCTCCATCAATATACCGGACGCAGACTGAAATCTTCATATTTGTGTCAACTGAGCATTTCTGAAGGATGGGCCTTTGAAGAACTTTAGTATACAGGCCGCCCCTTGTGACCTTGTCTTCTTCTAAAAATAATATACCGCTTTCTAGGGTTTCAATATGCCCGGACTTAAATGGCAGCATGGTTGCTCTGGGTCAGGGATAGTATTTAAGTGAAAGACAGCAGCAAAGTTATAAGAATATATACAGGTATATGTATATATATAAAATCAATATTCACTTCCTACATATAGGATGGTCCAGCATGGGGTAGAAATACGGTATATTGGCCCACATAATCTACCGGTGGCATAGACTGAGACATCCCAGAAAGGAAATGATCTATTATATCCAGGGCCGGATTTACTTTCTCTGTTGCCCCTAGGCCAGGTTCCTCAATGTGCCCCCCTATCCCACAACCCCCCCTACCCAATGGAGAATGGCAGACAAGTGATCTTGGCGACATCACCGAGATCACTTGTACAAAACAAGTGGCGGCTTCCCCGCTGTACATTTAGCTCTGCTTGCCCAAAGCCTGCCCGGCGCCCGGAACTGCATATTCCAGGTATGGGGAGATAGGAATTTCAAACCCCTGCTGCCCGTCTACTCCCTGCTGCCCCCGAGGCCGGGCCTTGGTTGGCCTTGTGGGAAATCCGGCCCTGATTATATCGCGGCGGCCATAGTTTATAAGGAGTTCTGTGCCACCTACTGCTTGGCACACTAATGCACTGATTCTATGCAGCCAAAGTATATGTGACTTTTCACTTCTATGGTGCACACATTACATTCATGATCATACATTGCAATCAGTGACTTTCTATTTTCCAACACACGTCGCATTCCACAGGAACATGCATTGCGACTGATCGTTTATTTGGTGTGCTTCTTTCAAGTAATGCAACCTGTGCTATTTTAATGGCATCCCCACCAATAGTTCATCAGGCCCATTGCTTGCTAATCCCAAAGTCCTCCTTTATCACAGGTCAACAATTGTCACCCAGATGAGAGCAGGAGATGCTGTTGCTGCATACTGTACATTGCTCCCCAGACCCCATGATTCTTCCTCCATCACCCACTTTCGTAACCTTTACCTGTACATACACAAAGCGGGATGGATCATGGCGTTAATCAGCACGCATAGGGAGCATATTGGAACACTGCTTGAAATATCGTGAGATATGGAAGAGACAAAGACTGACCCCAGAGACCCGGGGGGACATAACATACTTATTTTTATCTCAGAGGCGGACTTTTCTGAGCCAGGCGCGGGCAGCGTGTTCTTCAGGTATCCGAATTGTGGTTGCGTCTCCATGAAGAATATTAAAGTGTCAGCCAGGGTGTCCACGTCGGAGGAGCTCAGGTGGGCTGGGGTGACGACAGACGACGAGCCTTCATCCACCACAAATATATCGCCTGCAGACATACAAAAGATCTGATAGATAAACATTTACTTTGCAATAATTTGTTACATTTGTTTTTCAAGTAACAGGAAATAAAAGATACCGTATTTGCCGGCGTATAAGGCGACTGGGTGTATAAGACGACCCCCTAATTTTCCACTTAAAACATAGGTTTTGCGCTATACTCCTCATATAAGACTACCCCACTTCCGTGGCAACACCATTTAAAAACATCATGGATGGATGTGCGGTAATACTGTATGTACGGTAGCTTCAGCTACATACAATATACCCCGCTGAGCCAATCACGGCGAGCAATGTACTCTATTAAAGGAAAACTATGGGGGTCAGTGTTTTTCCCCATAGTTCTCCTTAGGGTAACGGGAGGACACAAACTAGCGTCCTCCCGTTACCCTAAGCTCAGTATACCGCGAGCTGCAGCTCGCGGTATACTGAGACGCCGCAGCCAGAGCGGATCCCGACATGGATGTCGAGATCCGCCCAGCTGCGTGAGTGACAGCTGGCTCTGCCTATCTAGAAGCAGAGCCAGCTGTACCCGCCCCCTCCCCCATCCGTTCCGCCAGTCAGCGCTGGCGGATCGGAGCGGGGAATCCAGCCCCTCCCCTGTCACGGCAGAGAACCGTGACAGGATCGAGAGGTGAGCGAATGCCGGTATCTGTTCGCTCACCTCCCGATCTACTGAGCCGACCTGTGACAGTCTCATTGTCACAGGTCGGCTAGAACTATGAGGTGAGTGGAAATCCCTCATCTCATAGTTCTCCTTTAATGAATACAAAGCCTGCTCGGATTGGCAGAGGTTGTGTACATCGCTCGCCGTGATTGGCTCAGCGCGGTATACTGTATCTAGCCGAAGCTAGCGTACATACAGTATTACTTCACATCCAGCGGTAATACTAACTAATAACGAACTAAAAGGTATACATTGTATACCCTGCGTATAAGACGACCCCGATTTTCGGGGGATGTTTTTAAGTATAAAAAGTCGTCTTATACGCCGGCAAATACAGTACATTCTCTGCTACAGTATTTCTCTACTTTTCATGTTGGCACATTTGGATAAATACTGTGTTCACTGACAATAGTTCTCTCCTATTAATGTCTCTTTACATGCAGATAAATCTGACCTGAACAATGCATATTATGGTGGTCTGTTAATTGCAATTTTTCTGTACCGTATATTCTCTCTGTCAGTTTATATGTTTGTTGAATGCGCCTTATTTTATTACTGAAAAATGAGTGGAAAAAAAAAAGGAAATAAAAGATACAATAAAACTTATATTTCCAACAACATACAGATAAAATCGTAGGGTCACCAGTCTATAAACATAACAAAGTGACTGATTAAGACATTATAATGTTCCAGCTTAGAGAGTGAGGATGTCAGGGGACATATCAGCATAGGAGGAGAGGGGCTGGAGACAGTGCTGTGACCGCCCGCTGGATCCGGACGATTGGGTGCGTATCATTTTGCTATTTCATTTCCCTAGAGGAAAATGAGCAGTTAACCCTCGCAGTGCAGGGGTAGCCCTACTGCAAGGGTTAATGATCATTTCCCCTGGAGTTCTTTAATGACTTCATGCCCTTATACCCCTTATGGACCAGAGAAATGTTTACATTGTGTCGTCTGTGTTCGGCAATCACATTGTTATTATTTATGATAGCCTAATTATACATACAGTAAGCTCCCTGTTATCCGGCATCCACGGGGATTAGTATATTCCGGAAAAATGTAGTTTCTGGTTGCTTGAGAGTTACTATTAAAAATAGGTCTAACTAATGCCATACCCCGTACTATACCATACCCCATACTATACCATACCCCGTACTATACCATACCCCATATTATACTATACCCCGTACTATACCATTCCCTGTACTATACCATACCCCGTACTATACCACACCACATACTGTACCGTACACCATACCCCGTACTATACCATACCCCGTACTATACTATACCCCATACTATACCACACCCCATACTATACCATACCCTGTACTATACCATACCCCGTACTATACCATACCCCAAACTATACAATACCCCATACTATATGACACCCCATACTATATGACACCCCATACTATATGACACCCCATAATACCATACCCCATACTATACCATACCCCATACTATACCATACCCCGTACTATACCATACCCCATACTATGCCATACCCCATACTATACCATACCCCATACTATACCATACCACATACTATACCATACCCCATACTATACCATACCCCATACTATGCCATACCCCATACTATACCATACCCCATACTATGCCATACCCCATACTATACCATACCCCATACTATACCATACCACATACTATACCATACCCCATACTATACCATACCCCATACTATACCATACCCCATACTCATACCATACTCATTTGTATTGACATTCCATCCCGGGAGTGAGCTTGGAGCGGTGACTACTTTACAACACACACAGGGACCATCGAGAACAGAAGTAGCCCCCCTCCAGAAGGAAGGACAGTGTCAGCACCAATTCAGAGATGATTGGAGGATCTACAGCCGAGTGATACACAAATAAGATACATTGTTGTTCATAGTTAGGGGACTTGAATGTATATTTAAGATTTAACTCCTGAGTTTAGTGTCACTTTAATATTGATATTGACATTGAACATATTAAAACATTTCTTGTTCTGCTCCCTGACCCCCCTGAGCATACATCATGATATGTACAACCATTTGTATAGACCCAGTCATCGGAGAAATCACAATTCCAGAATGAAGAGGTGAACCGTTCCCTGCGCGGTCTGGCGTGCAGCCTTTCTTGGTAAGGGATATTTTTAGCCACCTACGCCCAGGCTATAACATATGGTAAGTCGCGCTCGTCGTCGTCGAGATGCTTTGGATGGATGCTTAATTACCTTCCACTCCAACGGCTCCAGAGCGGAACAGTGACCTTGTTAGCCACATCATACTCACCAACGTGCATGATGGGTTGCTGATTATTGACGGGCGTTAGAGTGATGTTCAGGTCGTAGACGGGAAGGCTGGCGTGAAGAGGGATCGGAGGGGGAAGAGGGCCGTTGAAGCAACAGGTGTCGGCTGTGGAGGATTCACCATCGGAGACTATTAGAGTAACCGTATCTGCCTGGGGATGGGGTCCAATCTCGCCTCCTTAAGGAGCAGAAAAACATGTTAAGTACCAAGAAAACAAAACCTTATACATGGCTATTTATCAAAACCAGAGCTTAGCGAGTAGTCTGAACTCCATCTTAGATTCAAATGCTCATTAAATCTGAACTTCGGCCTTCCCTTCAGTCTTATTATTATTATTATATAGGATTTATATAGCGCCAACAGTTTGCTCAGCGCTTTACAATATAAGGAAGACATTACAATACAATTCAAGACAAGATATATGGAGGGCTCTGCCCCTGAGGGCTTACAATCTTAGGCCCCGTTCACACTGAGCGATTTTTGCAGCGATATCGCTCATATTTCCACGCAATATCGCTCTATGTAGCTTCTCCAATCCATTTCAATGGAGCTGTTCACATCTCGTCGCTCAATATCGCTCAATATCGCTTGTAGCTCGTCGCTGGTAGCTTGTCGCTCCTACATGACCCTTTTTTAAAGTGATTTCGAGCGATATTGCTCCTGATTGCATACAGCCCAATAGGAAAAAGTTGCGACAAGTCGCTCAATATCGCTCGTCGCACAATATCGCTCAAAATCGCGCGATTTTCATGTCGCTCAGTGTGAATGGGGCCTAAAGGGAGGGGCCAGTGATACATGAGGAGGTAGCTGTGTGGGGATGAATTGTCTGAGAATGTGATAGTTCAGTGGTTAGGTTGAGGTGGGATAGGCTTCCCTGAAGAGATGAGTCTTTAGGGATCCCCTAAAGGCAGTCAAGGTGGGAGATAGACGAACAGGTTGGGGTAAAGAATTCCATAGGTGTGGGAGATACCCTAGAGAAGTCTTGAAGGCGAGAATGGGAGGAGATGACAAGGGAGCTGGAAAGCAGGAGTTCTTGGGAGGAGCTGAGGGGACGGTTAGGGTGATACTTTGAGACAAGGTTTGAGATATATCCGGGGGCGGAGTTGTGGATGGCTTTATAAGTGATTGTTAATATTTTTCATTTTATCCTTTGGGTGAGTGGAAGCCAGTGGAGGGATTGGCAGAGGGGGGTTGCAGACACTGAGCGGTTGGTCAGGTGGATGAGTCTAGCAGCTGCATTCATGATGGACAGAAGGGTGGATAGCCTGTGTAGCGGAAGGCCAATTAAGAGGGAGTTGCAATAGTCAAGACGAGAGATAACAAGGGAGTGGATGAGTAATTTAGCGGTTTCATTGGTGAGGAAGGGGCGTATTTTGGAGATATTACGAAGGTCTTGCACAGTTGTACCGGCTCCTCTCCTGGAAAGGTTGAAATTCATAGACTATAGGTCGAACTCAAGGGACTATAGGTCGAACTCAACCGACTTGTGTCTTGTTTCAACCTAACTAGGTTGAAGGCCAACTGCAGTCATTTTTGACTGGCTCCACTAGAACATCAGTCCCTTACATACTTTCAGCTGAGATCACATAAGCAGTACCGAAGCACTTGGACACTTGACTACCTTCCACGTGAGCCATTAGAAGCTTTTTCTTAAAGATCGGCAAGGGTTCCTTTTTTCTTTTTGGAACTTATGAATTCAAGAAGTAGACAGGAGGGTTGAGATATTTTAGCCTTAAAGTTGAACTCTGAGCACAAAAAACTTTAATTGAAATATATTACACATTAGTTACAAAAGATATATCATTCACTTTCGGTGCACCTAATGACTCCCATATGAGGATAATATTTGCTTATCCCGGAGTTCAGCTTTAAATAATACCTTTATTTCTACAGCTCAGGCCAAAGAAAAGGTCTATTGCAGTGCAAAGAGGGAGAGGTGGAAGCCAAGCCATGGTAACAGCCCCTTCATGGCCAAGTTAGAATCCATATTCCCGCAGTCACTTTATGGCACCGTCTCCTCGGCTGCTAATATTGTATTTAATTATTCCTAAACTCCAGACAATCTTTTTTTTTTTTTTTTTAGACATGAGGTTGAGTATTTGCGGCATCTGTTGTTGCCGTTTCGTCCGGGGAAGGAAGAATGTTTTTTTGAGCAGAAAATAATTATTTTGGGAAGAACATTTTGGAATAGTCAGGATTTTTGACAGGTGCCTCGGTAGGAAAGACGTCAGCCCGTCGTGTCAGCACATTAGAATTTTAAAAAGGTGATTAATACTAGTAGAATTCATTAAAACCTGTTGATTTGCCTTGGCAGGTTGTGCAGCATTGCCAGTTGTCACAAAAGCAAAAATGGAATGTAAATGATGATTTACACTTGAGAGAGAAAACGTGGAGAAGGCTCGCCTGTGGTTGGGTTGGATTCTGTGCTGAGAAGTATAACTCGGGAGAATAACAAAATAGCAATGTAAAGAATTCATAGAGCCGGTGATATCAGGTTCTGGTCCACTTCTTATCGCCCCTTTACAGTCATAAAACCACAAAGAGCCCTAAACCAGGTAGCTGAAATACTGCAATATATATATAGTGTGTGTATGTATATACGTATATGTAAAAAAAAAAAATTTGATGGGAAGGGGGAGAAGGGAAAGGAGATGTATACGCATTGAGAGGATGTCTGAGTGAAGGGAAGAGGGTAAGGGAAAGAGTGTATAGAATAGAAATGTTGTGTAAAGGGCAGGGAGGGAGGAGAAGGGCAAGGGGGACATGTATAAGGTAGAGACAATGTGGAAGTGGAAGGGAGAGACAAAAAGGGAAGGGGATGTATAAGCAAGCAGATGATTTCTGAGTGGATGAAAGATGGAAGAGGGAAATAGAAAGAATGTGTAGAACAGAAATGTTGTGTAAAGGGAAGGGAGGGGGGAGAAGGGAAGATGTATAAGCTAGAGACAATGTGAATGTGGAAGGGAGAGAGAAGAAGGAAAGGGAGGGGATGTATAAGCAAGGAAGCAAGAGGGTAAATGAAAGAACGTATAGAATAGATATGTTGTTGTGTGAAGGTAAGGGAGGGAAGGGAATGAATGTATAAAATAGAAATGGGAAGTGAGGGGATGTATTAGATACAAATGTTATGTAAGTAGAAAGGGCGGGGGAGAAGGTAAGGGATGGAGAATGGAAGGAAGGGGGAGAAGGAAGGGAGGGGATATATAGGACATGCTATATAAATGAAAATGAGGGGATATAAAGGCTCGTTCACACCAATTGCGGTGAGTTCCAGATCGGTAGCTGCTGGAATGCACCACAATCGCTCACAAAACTGCCCCCTATGTTTCGGGTGAGGGAGGGGCAAACAGCCTTTTTTGCGCTTGCAGTGGAACGAAACGCAGGCAATGCACCGCCACACCCCCTCCCGCCCCAGAACGAAGGGGGAAGTTTTGTGAGCGTGTGGACAAGCCCTAAAGGTAAGAGAGGGCATATGAAGGTATGATACGTTAAAGGAAGGGATGGGACTGGATGTCAGATTAAAGTTATTAAGATTAATATTCTAAGTATCTCACCTGTGTGGATATATGCAACTAACCCCTGAATAACATCAAGCTGTGTGAACTTTTCCACCATGACCCCTTGTCTCTGTATCATCCCATACAGAGGCATGCGGGCGACCATGTACGTGAGCTTTGCGTCATCGCTGTCTGGGTCCGTTGCATAGAGGTTTTCAGCCGTTATGTAGATGTGGCCACCCTCTGGGCAATCTATATTGGATTTCAAGCCAGGCTGCAACTCTGGGGGTTCATCATTCACCAGTATAATCTGCAGAAGAAAAATAAAATGGGGGGGGCCATTATGCAACAAAGTTCATCACCACAAAAAATTTTGCACTGTGCAAAGAAGTTGGTATCCCACATAAAAGCACGTTTAGACCTCAACCAATGATACGATACATTTAGATTTTAAAAGTGAAAGTCACTGAAAAGCTCACAGTGACATCAGAGGAAGCCATTTCAGTCCAGGAGAGGAGCCGGTATAACTGTGCAAGACTGAAGGGAAGGCCGGAATTCAGCATCAAGACTGAATATTCAATTTCCAGTGGTGACTGGGTCTCCTTAATAAGTCTACTTCATTGCCCATTGGATAATTGTCCTTATTTCCTTATGCAGATGCTGCAAAACGTTCCCATTGTCACAAACATTGCAGGTGTATGTGACAAAGCTGGCGCCTCATTACCTTCCTAATTACACACACCATTCAGAGGTTAATGGAGGCGCTTGTATAACAGGATGGTAGAAGGCCCGGCGAGGATGCCAATTTACTGGGGTAAAGAGAGATACTTCCGTCATTATATATTGTGCTACATTACACTGGAACCGCTCCTAAAAATTGTTGCTGGAGAGGCGAAAAAATGTATCAATTTAGGAATCTCCGTTCACTCCATTTATTTACAGGATTATTATTATACAGGATTTATATGGCGCCAACAGTTTGCGCAGCGCTGTACAATATAAGGAAGACATTACAATCACAATACAAATCAAGACAAGATGGTAAGGACGGCCCTGCCCGTGAGGGCTTACAAGACATACGTCTTCAAATATTGACATGGCAATAACTTTGGTAGCTCCCAAAATATAGAGACATAGGTTGAAAAGAGTCACAAGCCCATGGCGTTCGACTATAAGACAAAAATCTATTATTTAAAAACCACATTGAAACCTCAAAGCCAAAACCTGCAGCTGTTCCAGAGCAAAGTAATTAAATACAAACCTTTATAAAGCTTAATACAAGTTCCAAAAAAAATCATTTTCTGGTCCGCAAAGGCCATCAGATGGATCTACAGCAGCTTTCCTAAACTAGGGATGACCACAGGTTTGGACTGAACTTGGTCTGGACCTGAACTCCTCAGAACCTAGAAGGGACATGGGGCCACCCGCACCCAATCAGATGTGGGCTGGGGCATTCCCCATCTCGGCAGCTGCATGTAAACAAATGGGTAGGATGCTTGTGCTGACATCATTGACCTTATATGATCACATGGCCATATTAGGTCATTGCCATTTGCCCCTGCAACCACCACTAATCCTCTTTTAAAGTCCATCTCCAGGTTAATACTATTAATACTAACCCCCCTCCCTCCCACCCACCCACCTCTAACTAGCTGGTGGGTGGAGTTAAAAAAAAACACTGGGACCAAGCACCGCTCCCCCGTCTACCCCCGAGACCTGAACCACCAGCACCCCCCCCCCCCTCTCTCTCAAAAAAACCCCCCCTCTTGCTTGGGCTTATACCACCAGCACATCCGAACCCCACCTTGAACTACAACGACGGCACCGCGACCTTCCCACTGACCTGCACTGCCAGCAAATTAGCCCCCTCAGACCTCAGGTGGTGAGAATTATGCGGATGCCCCTGCCCTGCACTCAGAAATGACGGCAGCGAGGGACATTTAGGGGACTTAAGTGAGTAGGCTTGCTTCACAAAGAATATAAAATATAAACCCTGCATTAGTTAGAGCGAAGTGGGAGTGAGGTATGGCTGGGGGTCATATTTTGCCCAGAGTGTGGCTTTAAGCTTACAGTAAATGGATGAATGCTGAATTCATACAAATGTGATTTTCCCCTACTGCGTTTTCTGTTGAAATCAATACAAGTGCAATAAAAAGGCATGTTGACTCGTCTTAATGTGTATTGTTATGTGTTTTCAATGCCTACTTTGCATTAAATGTCAACCTGCAAAATAACGTGCATTGGTGTGCAATCACGTGGGTCATGATGCCTTTACATGTGCTGAAAATACTATCAAATCCAGGAAAGAAAATGTGTCTGGATTTCATCATTTTATAGTATATTTTGTCTGCTCTGCGGTCTCCGCAAGAGGAACTCCAGGAATTAAAATTGTGGGCAAACAAGGCCAGTGGGCGGCTCTGCCTGAACACCGATCCTAGGAAACATCATAAGACCAATGCCTTGGCACTGGTCACATGACTACATCACTGGAAGATCACGAAAGACTCTTATTCCAAAGAACGGTATATCTTTTCCTTCTCAATGACTGATTCAGGTACCTGAAACCTTTTCTAGATGCAGATTAGAAAATTTGGAGTGTAAATGCCCTGATTTAATTACCTGGACACCAAGCACTCCATCCGCTGCGTTATTCCCATCCGTCACGGTGAAAACAATCGCGTCTTCATGTGATTCTGAATCGTCGTGCTGATACCTGCCGTTAAAAACAGGAATATGTATATATAGTAAATATATATAAGTCTTGACAATGTTCCGGCCTTTCCCCAGGCTTGCATGCTGCCCTTAAAAGAGAGGTTGCCATTTTGCCCATGCAGGTATCAGAGCTTGGACAAGGGGGTGATGTTAGGCTGCATTCACACATAGCGTTTCCGGCTCCCGCGCGGGACGAAAACGCTAATGTTTTTGAATCCACGCAGATGCCGATTGTTTGCGGCTATTAAATAGCTGCGGACTTGCGTAATCCGCTGGATTATAGCGCTTGCACTATTTCGGGGGCCGCACGTTTTCGTGCCGCGTGGTCCCGGCAATGGTGTGAACGTTGCACATTGAAGTGCATTGTTTTTTGTGTTTGGAGCGGCTCCGTACAGCTGAATACGCGTGGTGAGCCACTCAGGCGTGAATGGAGCATTATGGAACCTCACCCCGCATGTGACAGACCTGTTGATTGGTCACTCAGGCCTGAGCACTAAAGGGGAAGTCACATGCTACCATATACCTGTAATCCCCACACCATGAGGGAAAAACCCTGTACAGCAGTCTGGAAGAGGAAAGGGCCGAACTGGGAGCAAATCAGGTGTGCTGCATGTAAATTTGTTAACAAAGAACCTGCTGATAGAAGTCTTGGCTGTGTAAATTAAAGGACTGGTTGCACTGAACTACAAATCCTTTGGCAGGTCATACATCTCCCATAAATGTATTTCATCTGTGTATTTAGCTGTTTGCCTGGAGTTCAGCTTTAACTAAGTGTAATTTACTATTTATGTAAGTCTAGTTAATTGTTATTGTAATTGTTATTGTGCACGGTGGTAGAGCACAAGAAAAAGCCCCCCAAAAAAACTCAACACTCGCCTTCATCAGGGCTTAGATTCTGAAAGTAAATATAGTGAATATTGGACAACAAATGTTACAACAAGGATAAAATAATGTTCATTTTGGGTCTCCAGTCATGAAAATGTACTGAACTTATCAGTGGGGCTCCTTAGACTGCCCCTGGGACAAACTAGCTGCCCTAGACCATGGCGTTCTTGTGTCCTGCTTTCATGTTTGGCATTCCGTTCTATACTTTAATAAGGGTCAGAGGTGTAGAGACCTCCAAAGACTCACAAGACTACTCAAGTCCAGGGGATAGACGTGTCTGTCTGGTTCTGGGGGGTTCCCTGTGCCAGAAAATCAGCCTATGGGAAATTGGACTCTTCCATTCTAAGATAGCACTCTGCTATTGTGGCGGCCTCTGATAATAGGATGACAAAGCCCTTCTGTGCAATATGCTCCGCTCTCTAGAGGATGAAAGATTTTATTCCTATTGTTGTTTATAGAGCGGCGTCTTTTTATTACAGCACATATGTGTGACATTTTATGACTAACTGAGTGATACAGACACATTGTTTGGTGTGTGAAAAAGAAAACGTTAATCTTTGATAAGAAGAATCAATTAAACGGCAAGAAAAGGGAAGGGGAAGGTTCATCGTAAATGATCACGTCTGATGATGTTTTAATCAATTTAATTAATTAATGCAAATATGATTCACCAGAATTTTTAAGACTCTCCGTTATGCTGGCTAAAGGCGTCAAGATTCATTGGTTATAATACTTATGTAGTTTTGGATCTACAAATAAAAAACAAGTTGGTTACTTTGTAACCTTTGAAAGAAATGTTTTGCAATAAGAGTTGATGTTGATGTTTGGATCAGACTTCCAGTAGAAGTATTGAATCAGTGAACAGTGAAGCTGGCCGCATACTGATTTTCATAGGAACGGTCATAGAAAAATCTCATGAGAACATTCGATAATGGCATCAGAGGTCTGACGAATGTTTGTGTGAAATTTCTTTTGATTTTAAAGTAGGGCTGGGGAAATTAACGATTAATTCCTCGATTAATCGTTAAACTTTTTGATCGATTAAAATTCTTTTGATCGAAAATGAAAAGACTCACCTTTCCGCCGGCTTTCGGGAGTCCCGTTGGAGATCTTGTGACGTCACGGACATAGACGTCACCGGACTCCTCCCCCCTTAGTGATGTTAAAGTCCAAATGTTTTTAAGCTATTTCAAATGCTGATTAAGTCACGTACAATGGATGCTGTTCTTTGATGTTTAGGACATCAGATAATCTCCTAAGTGGGGTTTCCTCTTATCCTCGGGCCCCATAGCAGCCATGTGGACAGCTATGGTTATAGTTACTCCACTTAGAGGTCCTTTATTCCTACCTGACATTCAAGGCTCGCAGATCTTGCAGATTAAAGGAGCTTCCCTCGGGCAAGATGACTCCGCGAAGTTCCAGGTTTCCATGCAGGGGACGGGACTTCAGTATAATTCTCAGATTCTCCTCTTTTGTGTCCACATCGGAGAGAACAATATTTTCCCCGCTTATTAGACAGCTGGCTCCTTCCTCGGTTCTCACAGGGCTGGTAAAAATCTGAAAGGTAACATTTGATGAGCAATGGCACCAATTGCCAATATCTCACAGGTATATTGATGACGTTCTTCAATATAATTCTTTAGCATTACATGCACTTTGTCTGCTGTCTTACATTTCTGAAGATTTGACACTTACTTGTTACTGGTTTTAAAAATATTTAAAAACTCAAAAACAATGTGGTGGGTGCATTCGTTTTCTTTTTTTTTTTTTCACCAGCTGCAGAGGCTGATGAAGGGAACGTCTTTCTAGCAACAGTATTCGTGTGCGGGCACATGCTAGGGTTGCCACCTTTTCTTCAAGCGAAACCCGAACACTCCAGCGACGCATGGTCATTTTTGAGAATGAGTTGTGGCTTGTTCATATGTAAAAAGTGCCGCCCATTCATATGTAAATATCACAGTAGAGACTATTTTCAGTGGGGGACAGTAGCCCCTATATTAATTTTGGTTGCCCCTGTCTGCCTGACATCTTGTGTCCAGGTTTCTGCTGCCATGAAACCCGAACACAGCATTCAAAACCCGAACTGTCCGGGTGAATCCTGGACAGGTGGCAACCCTAGCACATGCGTCAGAGCTAAAGGAACTGACCAATCTCTCAGGGGAATCAAAAGGATCGAGCTCGTGTAGAACTACTGCACTATGCTGGTGTGATCTTTTATGCTTTTGTTCTTTTTACAAACATTACAAAACTGGCGTTTCAGTAAACAATAGCACCTTGTAGTCTTAGTTTGTTTTTCATTTCTGCACTTATAGTTGTACTGCTAATAAAGTTAAATGTATTAGTTATTATTTAATAATTAATGTGTTTAACTTGCTGTTAGCAGTACAACTATAAGTGCAAAAATTGATCACAGGTGCAAACACAAAACATGGCTAGTCGCAATGCATGCACTTCAGACCTCAGACCAACATCAATGAATGCACTTCAGACTTCAGATGAACCCCAATACATGCATTTCAGACCTCATATCAGCCATATCAGCCTCAATGCATGCACTTCAGACCTAGGATCAGTCCCAGTGCATGCACTTCAGAACTCAGAACAGCCTCAATGCATGCACTTCAGATGAGCCCCAATGCATGCATTTCAAACCTCAGCTCAACCTCAATGCATGCACTTCAAACCTCAGATCAGCCTCAAAGCATGCACTTACAACCTCAGATGTGCCGCAGTGCATTCTCATTTCATGCATTTCAGACCCCAATGCCTCCCCAATACATGCACTTCGGACCTAAGATCAGCCCCAGTGCATGCACTTCAGACCTCAGATCAGCCCAAAACCTGTACCTTTAAGAATGCAGGGTACTGCTGCAGGTTTGCAGGTGGGCTTCTTTCGCACAGCACGTCAACATCCTTAGCTGTTGGGGGCACCTCATATACTATTTAATCTCCCTGTCAAAATTCTTGGCTCTGTTCCTGATCATCTTTATGTGTTTAGCTCCTCGTGTTACATTCTCCATAATATAAAAGAAATGGGATGGTTGGAGCCCCCCATATTAAGCACAGAAGATGTGCAGATCCGGGGACACACCAACAGGGTCCCTCAGTGACTGTCCCTGTATTCCCTTTCCAGAATCCAGCACACACTGAAATAGCAGTTTCTATTGTGTAATTTCATGTTCCTATGAGCCAAAATGGATGTCTGTTTGCTACCTGAAATGTCAGAGAGTTGAATAAATGCCTATAAGCAAATCCTTCAATGCTCTAGGCTGTAATTATATTTTCTGGATTAACATTGATGTATGACTGTGGTTTCCAGTAACCATACATTAAATATTATATAAAAAGTAGCAATACACCTGGATACACAGAAGTACAACTAGATACATCTCCTCCTGTGCACATACACACCTTGGGGATCTGGTCATCCACCGGCATCACCGTTATATTGAAGAGGAGTCCGGTCAACTTCCCTCCGTGTTCATCGCTGACTGAGAACTCGAACTGAACATACATGGGTTCGGGCCCGATGTCCTGGATCGGGGGCATGTATGCCACTTTCAGGTGGGTTACTGCTTCCTGGTGGTAGGATTTCACAATATCATCAACAGTCAAACAATGATCCTAACTTATAAAAAGGGGCTGAAGGAAGAAAAGCTTTGTTGCCATAAGCAGCCAAACTCTTCCATTGTTGAGAGGGAGAATGGAGACCAGAAATGTTATTGCTTGTCAACAGAATCACCAGATATTGTGAAGAAAGAAAGAGAGGCAGAGAAAGAAGAAAGTAACCTGAGAGAGATGGAGAAATGGAGGGTGATAGCAGCAAGATGAGAGAGGAATGAAGAGAGTAAATACGTAAGCCGACAAAAAATTTGTTTCGTTTTTCGGATTTTTCTTTCTTTTGGGTTTCGTGTCCGAACGCATTTTCATTATTTGGATTCAGGACTTCGGAATGTTGTTATAGTTTCTGGTTGGTCACAAAACAGTCACGTGTCGGATTTAGTTTAATTTTGAATGAAATTCGTATGATTAGAAATTGCGTTAAAAGAACTTTCCGATTTCGTTTACATTTTTCGCCTCATTGGAATTCGGACATTCGGATTCATCCGATTGTCCGAATTCACAACATTTTACAAAATTTGCATTCGGAAAGAAACTAAATTTACATGTCTAGAAGCGAGTGAGGATAAAAGAAAGAAAAGAAAAGAAAGAAAATAAGGAAGGCAGGGCTACTGAAATTAGAAAGGGCAGAAGGGGAAGAGGAAGGAAAGGAAAGGAAAGGAAAGGAAAGGAAGGGGAGGGAAGGAAGGGGAGGGAAGGAAGGAAGGAAGGAAAAGAAAAGAAAGAAAGAAAAAAGAAAGAAAGAAAGAAAAAACAAAGAAAGGAAAGAAACAATAAGAGGGAGAATAAAAGAGAGAGAAATATAGAAAAAAATAAGTGAGAAAGAAAGATGATAAGAGAGAGAGAGAGAGAGAGAGAGAGAGAGCGTGTAAGAGAGATAGAGGATCAGAGAGAGAAAAAGAGACAGAGGGTAAGAGAAAGAAAGAAAGAAAGAAAGAAAGAAAGAAAGAAAGAAAGAAAGAAAGAAAGAAAGAAAGAAAGAAAGAAAGAAAAGAAGGCAGCGTACTGGAAATTAAAAAGGAAGGGAAAGGGGAAAGAAAGAAAGAAAGAAAGAAAGGGCAAAGGAAAGGAAACAAGGAAGACAGTGCTATGGAAATTAGAAAAGAAAGGAGAAAAGGAAGTACAGTAAAAAGAGATAAAGAGACAGAAAGAAAGTAAACAGGGAAGAAAGGATGAAAGGGAAAGAGGAAGGCAAGGAGAAAGAAGGAAGGGGAAGAGAAAGGAAGGAAGAATACGGAGCCGGAAGTAAAGGAACTGCACATACCTGGGTGAAAGCATGCAGGGTGGGGATTAATGGATCTTTTTCTAAAGCGTTTGCAGTATCTACAAAGATAAGTCTTCCAGCATCTTGGATACTGTAGAAAATACAGAGAATAGGTTATAATGTGTCCATTTTTTCTGAATGTAAAACTTCACAATGTGTAGTCGTGCCGAGGCAAGGAGATTCTCATCATTCTTGAAAAAAGTAAAGATGTGCACCATTTTAATACATTTCTAATGCTGGATCTTTGTGTTAATGAAACTGAGCAGGGAAGCCGACTATCAGTTGGTGGCAGGCTGGCTGGTACTTATATTTCTAACATAAGCGCTTAGGGAAAACATTATTAGGAAATAAATATATAATCAACTTTAGTATACACCTAGGGGCATATTTATAAAGTAGTAAATGTGCACCAGGAAGATTCACCAGCAGTGAATGTTTTTACTTTCATCTATGTCTCTTTTTGACCTTTAGCAGTATCATTTGGCAGGAAATCTGCTCTTCCAATCAGCGTCCCCACTTGCTGATGATAGCTTCTTTGCTGCTTTATAGATAGATTTAGCCAACCCCCTCATAAACCTCTGGACAGTTAAAATATAATGATACCGTTGTGTTCAGGATTCTGGGTCTGTGTGCCTAACGTCACTTGGAAAGACACTTTCTATTCTATTGTGTGTGTTCCTCCTGTATAGTGCTGTGCTGGATGGTGCTCGAGAGGGCACGGATAATAGCCATTCTCTCATTGCTTCTGCTAATAACAGGTCTTTGATCTCTCACAGACCTGCAATACATCAGTGAGGAGTGATTTGCCAGGCTTTAGAACTTGTAATCCTATTTTGAATAGGAAGGTAGGGTCAGGTAGATGTAGGACAGGGATAGCCCAACTTCAGCCCCCCCAGCTGTGGTGAAGCTTCCAATCCTATCATGCATCTGCCTCTGGCAATCCTGCCTGTAACTGTCACAGTGCCTTATGGGACTTGTAGTGTCACACAGCTGGAGGGCCGTCATTTGGCTGTCTCTGGTATAGGAAATACATATTCTAGCTCATACTAGACTTGTGCGCCATCAAAAAATGTGTTCCGTTTCGTTCCATTTCGGAATATCCGTTATTTCGTATTTCGTAATGCGTATCCGAAACTCAATTCGGATTCGTACGAAATACGAATTTTCGTTAGTTTCGGCACATTTTCGTAACTTTACGAACATTCGTTATGATGAAGTTAACGGATTCCGTATCCGAGTTTCGTATTTCGGATTAAAAAAAACTACCATCAACTCCAATATAAATGTACTTTGCTTTTTAACTTCAATTTATAACGAATGTTCGTAACGGAACGAAAATACGTCAACGGAATTTCGTATTTCCTGCCTGTATTGTATTGTAATGCAACTCTCAGCAGCAGAACAGAAAACCTCTGATTGGTCAACCAAAACGAAATACGAATTCCGTTAACGGATTCCGTATCCGAATTTCGTATTTCGGAAAAAACTACCATCAACTCCAATATAAATGTACTTTGCTTTTTAACTTCAATATAATGAATGTTCGTAACGAAACGAATCGCACATGTCTAGCTCATACCCTGGGGACATCAGAGAGTAACACGGCTTGGTGATGGTGTACAAGAGCTGGCTATGCGGTGACTCGGTATCGGTGAAGTGTAGTTGACTCCTGCCAATTCTGGTCACCTCGTTCTCTCTCACGGATAGATGTCTTGTACTTCCAGCTACTTCTTTGGGTAGCTGATCCTTCACAGAAGCAATGAGGATTACAACAACCTAAGTAAAAGACCAGAAATGCGTTAGGAGGGAATTCCTGGGGCTAAGCAGCAGTCCCAGGCACGCAGCTGGAATCCACTGATAAAGAATAAGCTTCGTGTTCAGACACATTCTAGAAGAGGGCTTATTCTGCCAAAAATCAAAGGATATATTTTTCAAATAAAACCACTAACCTGACTTGTAAAGTCTCTGAATCCGTTATTTCGTATTTCGTAATGCGTATCCGAAACTCAATTCGGATTCGTACGAAATACGAATTTTCGTTAGTTTCGGCACATTTTCGTAACTTTACGAACATTCGTTATGATGAAGTTAACGGATTCCGTATCCGAGTTTCGTATTTCGGATTAAAAAAAACTACCATCAACTCCAATATAAATGTACTTTGCTTTTTAACTTCAATATAATGAATGTTCGTAACGAAACGAATCGCACATGTCTAGCTCATACCCTGGGGACATCAGAGAGTAACACGGCTTGGTGATGGTGTACAAGAGCTGGCTATGCGGTGACTCGGTATCGGTGAAGTGTAGTTGACTCCTGCCAATTCTGGTCACCTCGTTCTCTCTCACGGATAGATGTCTTGTACTTCCAGCTACTTCTTTGGGTAGCTGATCCTTCACAGAAGCAATGAGGATTACAACAACCTAAGTAAAAGACCAGAAATGCGTTAGGAGGGAATTCCTGGGGCTAAGCAGCAGTCCCAGGCACGCAGCTGGAATCCACTGATAAAGAATAAGCTTCGTGTTCAGACACATTCTAGAAGAGGGCTTATTCTGCCAAAAATCAAAGGATATATTTTTCAAATAAAACCACTAACCTGACTTGTAAAGTCTCTGGTATATGCCCTATAGTGGGATCCATATGCACTACCTAATGTACACTCCCCATAGGAGGATTCATGTCTCGGACTATGGCAGCCTTAGGACCTGTGTCTACAGGCTTTGGAATTGTGCCAATGGCATCAGTTTGAGACTCTTCTGACATAATTCAGAATTCATTGATAGGTGCATTTGAGTTGCAGTTGACCTCCTTCTGAACTGCATTTGACCTGCTTTCAGTTGGCGTTGCATTCCCATAGACTTGCATGGGAATGCAAAACATCTTTGAAGTCTGGCGACATAGACATTTAAGATGGCCACACACATGGAAACTTTAACTTTAACCCCTTTTGATTGGGCTGGAATTGAAATCCCAAACCCATGAAACACGTAACTAGTGGTTTCTTTTAACCATAAGGAGATAGGATTGAAATTTCATTACTCGAATCCAGCAGAAAAATCCAAGTGCTTTGACAAAATTGCCATTGTTCTTTCTGGTTTCAATCGATGTATTCAATAAACCGCCCTGAAGTTGTCAATACTTAAGGTAGCCATACACTGTGCAAATGTTGGCCAGTTCTTGATGAATGTGACAGTTTTAAGTGGTCCATGCTCTTTATCACGCTTAATAAAGACCACGGACTGCTCTACACTATGCTACAAAGTTTCCTCTGTGCATTGACAATAAATCTGAGCACATACCTAGGGGTCCTCCTCATTATGCTAAAGTTATGCACTTGAATATGTATAGGTTCCTTGTCTAATACACCACAGTATATATGCTATCTAGAAGAGTAGAGCACAATGACTCCCTATAGGCATTGGTTACTGATTTCAGCCTCTGTGTCTCAACTACTGATGGTGTTATGCTCTATGCTCTTGTAACTACATTCTCCATCTCTATACAACGCCCATGTTTAGTTTTGTAATGGGCACAACACATGGGGGAACTATGAAAATGGTGAGGATATATCACTGGAGTGCCTAAATATTATAAGAACTGTAGGGATGGGATGGACGTATTCATGTTACTATATATGTTGAATGATCTGGCATTTAAAGCATTTAAAGCGGGACACTCACGTGCTTGTCTGAATAGTTGGGAGGCTGGTGGCTGTCCGACAACACAAACTCGAAGGAGTCCTGGAAGATCTCCCCTCCAAAGTGTCTGTAATAGATGAGGCCTCGGAAGAGATCCCTCTGCAGGAATGTCAGTACGGGAACACCTAGGGCAAACCACAGTGTTTTTATCTCCGTTGGTGTTGGAGGTTCCCAAAGAGTTATCTACAGGTTTTCATAGCTGTCCATAGATAAAGAGGGGAACCCTACTAGGCATTAAGTAGAACACACCTAGTGGTGGCATTTACCGGGACTCTCGGAGGAATATCTCTTCACCAGTTCTCCAGCTTTGGGCAGCCCGGTGATGTTGTAGCGGATGTGGTCATCACTGGAATCCATATCTGTTGCCAGCAACATGTCCTTCTCTATGAGGATGGAGGCACCTTCCAGGAGCTCGAAGCCCACGTTGTTAACCAGGAAGGGCGGGCTGTCGTCCTTAGGGAGAATGTTGATGGGGAACTTGTGTCGGATGCTGTGTTTGCCATCAAAAATTCGGAAGACAACGAAATCCTTGGTGGTGTCGCTGTCATCGTGATGGTAACGCACAATGCCATCTTTGATGTCCTGGACGGTGAATATAAAAGCCTTGGAGTCTGCCAAGAAACGGAGAACAAAATATTGATAACATTTATCATAGTTGTGCATTTTGTATATGCAGAATTCAAAAAAGAATAAAAAAGTTCAGTTTTCGTATGTAACTTTGTGCAAGAAGCTCAAAACATATAATATAGCGGAAAGTACCAACTGGTCATAGGGACCATTAAACCTTTTAGTAATGAGAACAGTAGGCTCCCATTGAGCATAGGAGCATTAAACAACTCATGAATGTTAAAGTGGATCTGCAGTCTGGGCCAGATTTACTCTCTCTGCTGCCCCAAGGCCAGGTTCCTCATTGCGCCCCCCTACCTGCCAACCCCCCACCCCCCTCATGGCAGACCTGCATGCTGCATACAAGTGATCTCTGCGACATCGCCGGGATCACTTGTACATAACAAGCGGCGGCTTCCCCGCTGTACATTTAGCTCTGCTTGTCCAAAGCAGGGCTAAATGTAGAAAACCACTACCCGCCCTGCGCCCGGAACTGCATGTCCCAGGCATCGGGAGATAGGAATTCCACACCCCTGCTGCCCCTCTACTCCCTGCGGTCCCTCTACTTCCTGCTGCCCCTCTACTCCCTGCTGTCCCAAGGCCGGGCCTTGGTTGGCCTTGTGGGAAGGCCAACATGCCTGATTAGAGAGCCGTTGATGCCTCTGCCTAATTGTATTCAGCCCAGCTGGCCATTGGGCATACCGAGGCGATCTGGGCTGGCCGGACCTATTTTCAGTGGTGGGCCTGGAGCTGGAGCTCCAGGATATACTATATAAACCGGCCCTGCCGGCATGGGGGAAGGGGGCTCTCTACAAGGGCAGTTTCCTAATTTCCTTGGAGTTCAGCTTTAATGAATACAGAGTTGCATTAATTTGCGTCTTTTATATCCGCCCGGAGTTCATCCATAAGAAGTAGATAAAACCGCTGGCGGCCATTACTGAACCATGCTTGCACACAGAGAATTAAAGACATTTCTGCACCTCTCAGCGTGAGACGTCCGTGATGCAGCCCATCCACTGTTACCAGACGAACAGCTTGAATGTTATCGTTATCCACGACCTGAAACAGATCCCAGCCGATGGGGCGAGACTGTCCCTCCAGCAAGTTCAGACCTGGGAAGCGCGGCCATGGCGGGATAAAAAAAATGACATCATCAGCACGGACATTTTTATAGCAGGCTCATACAAGGTTGTTTTACGGACAAATCCGGATGAAGCAATAACACCTCAATGTAAAATTCAGCTTTCCCATGTTGAGCTTTGTAGCGCTATGGGAAACGTACTACCAAATGCTTCGGTTTAGGCAAAGGCTTTTTTCTAGAACTCCACATGGGTAGAATGAAGCTATTTAAAAAAAATTACATTACCCAGAAGCCCTTTCACCTTATGGACGGGGTTATCTGCATGTGTGTAATGTGAAACTTTAACTAGTTAAACCTTTTTTTAAAGAAGAAAAAAAAGCTTCAGTTATAATTAATACATAAAAATTAGTCATTCCGCATAGGAAAAAAAAATGTGTGAAATATATCAAAAGATCGAAACTTGTTTACTGTGAAAAATTAATATTCGCACTATAGCATGTATTTTAGGAATGTACGGCGATGACTCCAAACGCTGAACACAGGAAGTTTTATAATGACAGGTGTTAAGATTTAAAGGACACGGGTCCTAAAGAAACATGGAGGATGTCAATGCTGACATCTGATTGGGAACATATTTGTTCCCTGGCTGTCATGCTGTATTATCTAGTTATCTAGTATCTTATGTAAGTGAATGGGGGTAAATAGGATAACATTGGATTGGCCATCAATAGGACTTCACAGAGAACTTCGACCCGAGGATGATATTGAGCCACACTTTAAGAGAGACTGGAACCAGAAGCCAATTTCCTGAGAGCAGCACAAAGTCCTCTTCAATATGGAATTTTGTAAACCAGCAACAACCAAAGCTAGACCCAGAGCTTTAAAGTGCTGAAGCCAGAGCGAGCCAGGCATCTTGGAGTTTCAAAAGGAAGCCAGAAATATAATTTTTGTAGTTCTTTGGGCGCAGGTTCCATTTAAAGATTTCCAGTTACTCACCCATATTCCAGGACACTCGCGGGGCGTTTGTCTCTGCAGTTCTAATGGAGAAGTGGACCATTATTGGGCGGCTGCTCAGGAAATAGCTATCGATCGCCTGAAATTCAACCTAAAGTCACAAGCAGGGAAGACGATTACTAATAATACAATACAAAATGTAAACTCAGAACACAAGCAACAACTGCCAGTTCTAGAGTAACGTGCTTGATGAGCACTTTCCCCCAACTGGGGAAATTGTGAAATCTTCCCAGTTGAGTCACAGACTGAAATCTCACAGTAATTTTAACTCTTCACAACTCTATCAAAAGCTAAAAAAATTGTCCTGGAGGTAAACTTTGGGCAATGTTGCTATTCCATCCCCATTCAACCCACAGTATCTATCATCTTCAGTTTTTTCCAGCCTTGAAAATCTGGTGACTGATCTAAGTCAAGAACGTGAGAATTGAGAAATTCACAATCACAACTCACCTCATAGTTGCGTCTTTCGGGATGGGAGGTGTTGGGTGGCTGGTATGCTATCTTAAGGTCATGTAAGTCTTGCCAGGTGAAGGAGGTAATGGCTTTGGTCTGGTCATCTGTGTGGGTGATGTAGCCCTCTGGAGGTGGCTTACTGATCTTAAACACAAGTTTGCTCTTTGGAGTCTCATCATCTTCAGCATCGAGAGTGGCCGTCGTAAGAGGGGTCAAGATGAACTGGTCGATTTCCAAGATAAACATGGGCATGAAGGCCGCACGGGGTGGAGTGTTGGGGATTGCCCCTGAGATTCTTACAGGAATCCAAATATTCTGAGCCTGACATGAGAAACAGTTAGAGGTAAATACAATAGGACCATATATGGCAAATGCAAGTCAGATCCTTGGTGTTGTTAATTGAGAGTTGTATAGGAATACCATTGTCCTGAGACTTCATTAATAAATATTCCCCCCCGCACCACCACCACCACCATTGCATCTTGGCTGTCAAATAAGGCCAATGTATTTTGTAGTGAGTTATTGTAGCACCCCTTACATCAACCATAAACCAACATACACCATAAACAAAGACCTCTGTTCTTATGGTTATGTTAGAAGATTTGTTACTGGCCTGCAATTGTTTTCGATTGTCTTGGCTGCGATACTCAATCTGGAGTGGTATGTAATCGACATCGGGGGAGGGAGGACTGAAGTGTTCATATTTGATACCCATCTCAAGAAGATCGGCACAGTTGGCCTTCAATGATCTAATTTCCTTTAGTCCCGGGTGGCATGCCTTGTTGCCGGAACACCGCAATTTTTCTTGCCTGTCTGGAGGAAAAGAGAATTTTAAAAGGTTTCAGCTAAAAATATTGTATAAAAAACAAACACTAACTCTTTCCCAAACAGTAATTGCTACAACGAGTAACATAATAGCTGGGCTAGAATTGTTAGACAATTGTCTACCATATCTTCATCTCATGAAGTATGGTAGATAGTTGTCTACCTCATTAAATATACGTATGACCTTGGAAAGTGATCTTAAAAAATGAATGTGTTGGTTGTGGGCATAACCTGGGAGCCAGGTATTTATTATGGTAATATTCTTTTTGCTGGGTTTGGTTAGGTTCAAGGGGTCACGATAAGGTTAGATTTAAAAGTATGTTCAGGGTAAGTTGAAGGGTGGGTGTTGGGTGAGGGGGCTTTGACTACAAGGGTCAGGTTAAGGGTTGGTTGAGATGGTTTCAAATAAACAATAAGACCTACTTAAAGCTGCTACTTAGTTAATTTTGACCCAGAGCACAAAAACACTACAAAAGAGGTGAATAAGTGTATTTGATAAATTACTCATACCCCCGGCAGGTTTTTTCCTGCCACATGAAGATGGGCATTCAATACATTATTATTCCACTTACAGTTCCTGACTCGAGGGTGCGGCGGAGACCCAGCAACAAGTCTGCTGTCACGCTTTGAATCGTCTATCACCATCTGTCCAAAGGTGGGAAGACCCAATTCAGACCCCAGGGTCCTGGCCACACAGTTTGTCCCTGGTCTTTCCAAACTTTGCTTGAATGTCAGAATGTTTTTGTCCACCGATTTAGATGAAATGCCATAAAACTCTGGAACTTCTAAAGAGTTCTCTCCAAGAAGAACAATGCCGGCCAATGACTCTGAAATATTTACTTCTAAAATAAAACTTTCCACCAATGTCTCCCGTTCAGAAAACCTGCGACATAGAAAACGACAATCTTTGATCACAAGAATTAGCAAGGATTAGAAAAAGGAAACAAACAATTATGCAAGAAAATCCTGTATGTGCCAGTTATATTATTTTCCACAAAAAGCTGCCTATGGATGTTGGAGGCCGTTCATTCATGATATGAAACATTGGTCTACAAGCGGCCGTGTTCTGATTGGTCTAATTGTGGAAGTAAGTGAGAAGCACCAAAAATAAAGAGTTTTTGCCACACCAAATGGGAAAATTGGTGTTTTCCTCTCCCAAGCCCTTCAACTGAAACCACTAACTGGATTTTCCTAAAACCCAACCATAAAGCCCGAAGAAGGCGGAATCCTTTAGAAACCACTAAAATTTGTTGGCTATGTTTAGTGGACCTTTATTAACAATAAACATACGATTGTCTCAGTTTATATTCAGTATTGTTACAATGTATGCCTATTGCACCATTTCTCAGCCTTTTTTCAGTCACGGCACCCTTTAAAAGTATGCAAAATCTCCAGACACCCCAGTTTAAAATGTAAACCGCCTTAATGTAAAAAACGATGGTTGGCCCCTCCAAAATCCATACCAGACCCTTATCCCTGATCTTGTATGGATTTTAAGGGGGGACTCCATGCAAAAAAACATACAAAGATGGGTTCCCCTATTCAAATCAGAGGCTCCCCGTTCACATCAGAATCCTGCCTTTCGCATGATTCCCCCCTTTACATCAGGAGGTCCTTGTTATATTCGGAGCCCCCATCACATCAGGAGCCCCCTCTTTTCACATCAGAGTTCCCTTTCATGTCACAAGTCCCCTTTTATATCAGAGCCCCCCTTTTATATCAGAATCCCCCTTCACATCAGAGTCCCCTTTCACATCACAAGCCCCCCTTTTACATCAGAGCCCCCCTTTTATTTCAGAATCCCCCCTTTCACATCAGAGCCCCCTTTCACATCACAAGTCCCCCTTTTACATCAGAGCCACCCTTTTATATCAGAGTCCCCTTTCACATCACAAGTCCCCCTTTTACATCAGAGCCCCCCTTTTATATCAGAATACCCCTTTCACATCAGAGTCCCCCTTTGGCGGCCTGCCTGCATCGTGGAAAGGCATGACGCCGTGCAAACATTTCAAGGCACATCATAGGAAGGCTTGGGATGGATTACACCCCAGGATGCCAAGGCACCCTGGCTGAGAAATGCTGGCCTAGTGTACCACATATTGTTAAGAAATTAAGAATGTTATAATAAAACAAGTGTATCTAAAGCCAATCTTTATTTTCAATTTCATACAGAGTATGGAATGGCTATTACTATTTCCAGGATTTTTTAAATTACTGCTTTGGTTCTGTTGGAAGAGATTTCCCTCCACTTCCCAATTCAGAGGCACAGAAGGTAAGAGAGCTCCAGAAATAAGCTTTTACCATCATGCCATTTTTTCTTTTTACAATACCGCAGTAGGTAAGTGGTTATGGTCCATATCCGGGCAAAACTAAACATGCACTCATCCCTTCACCCCCACCCCTTTCCCTTTAGCCCCTTCTGACCATCCATTAGGTTTTTCTCAAATAAAATATGTTGTTGCATGTTAAAGAATAATAATAATAATAATTATAGTAATAATAATGACTTTTATTAAAAATAGATATATATATATATACATACACACACACACACACACACAAAAAAAAGTCAGTGGATTTTAAATATCTGACCCAGTGATTGGGATTGCAGGGCTTGGTTTGGCCGACCACCACATTTTCACAAGTTTGCTCATCACTACTAGTAGCCATAATATCTTATTTCAAGGATAATGCAAAAATAAAAAGACATTGCTACTAATTGTGACATAGTGGCTTTTCAAAGACTTCAGACAATGGACCAGGCCCGCTGTACTGGGATTTTATCGTTTTTTAACAACAAAATGGCCTTGATCAAAGCGACCACACAGGAATTTGCGTCTGGTTTGTAAAATGCAGACAACTACAATCAGCAGTCGTAGAAATAGTTATTGGTGATTTATAACCACGGTTTGCCTTTTCTAGTGAAATTATTCGGTTGGCATTTAAAGTTCCAGACTGGCCTTTGCATTATTTTGACAGAACAGACAGACGGATAGTCTGGAGGTGTCACAAAGATATTTCTTTGCATTCTTGGAAATGTTCTCAGCTGAAAGAACTTTATTGTAGATGTAAACTTTAGCTGAATGGCATTTAGTTTGCTACAACACTGTGTATTATGAACAAATAAAACATAAGAACATAAAACAAGACTCCCTCTCCTACTCTGCCCCTCACCCCCTCTAACTGCTGGCAGTAAAAAAAAACCCCTGTCTTACTGATCTGATGATGCTGGGGTGAAATCCGATTGGCTTCTGCAGGCTACAAGACTTTGGACTTTGTAGTTGCTCTTCGCCCTCCATAAGGCCCCCTTGCACACGGAGGCCTTCAGTTCCGAACCATGCATGATTGGAGCAGTGTGGAATGGATATCATTGCTGTGACATCCGTGTTCATCCAGTGAAATTACAGGACCCATGTTGGTCTACGGTAAGTCAGATGTAAATGGACATGTGTCCGTTTACGTATGAGTAACCCCAAAGCACCACAATCAGGCCTGCCAAAATGGAACTCTGTTCTTTTGGGTTTTCTGCACCTGGCTGGAGTCAGGGGTAACCGGCGGTAAACTAGTGCACGTCTGTTTAGATCTGGCTGCCCATAGAATAACATTGGTCTTCTGATCAGATCCACCTGACCTCAACCTGATTGGAATTCCCATCTGAAAGGCCCTTAGACTCCATGTTTTCTCAGTGAAAATATCAACAACTTGTGTGACATTCCAATGGAATATATGAAGGATCTCAATGACTTCCAAGCTGCTTTCCTGGCAACAGAAACACTTCTACAAGCTGAGATCTCCTATCTGTAGGATACAACATCCCCAGACCTTCCATAGGAAGCCGGAGGAAATGAAACAGCTTTGATAGAAAGGAAACACTTTTATTCAAACATCCTGACCTGGCTTGAAAGTGAGACGCATATACTGAATTGTACATTTAAAGTGACACTAAACTCAGGGATTCAATCTTAAAAATACATTCAAGGACGTCAGCCATTAACAAAAATGTATCTTATTTGTGTATCACTCGGCTGTAGATCCTCCAATCATCTCTGACACAGTCCTTCCTTCTGGAGGGGGGGCTACTTGTGTTCCCCATGGTTTCTGTGTGTGTGGTAAAGTAGTCACCGCAACAAGCTCGCTCCCGGGATGGACTACAATCTCATGTTTAGTTTACTCATTTGTATTAGGATTGTAGTCCATCCCGCTCCAGTAGGACGTAGTGAGGGACACTACTGTTTAGTTAGCCTCCTAAGGTGGAGTAGGCCTTTTTATTTGTGTTACTTTTGAGTTCTGCCGGAAATTGTTTGTTTAAAGGAGACTTTTACGTTGCGTTGCATACTGATTGAAGATCAGTGACTTTCCTACAATATATATATATATATAATTTAAAGGGTCTCTATGGTCAAAAACTACAACTAAATCTGTATTTCTATATTGAATTTCTGAAGCATCGGAGAAGAAGAGAATGCTGGCTGCCCAGCAGTTGAGAAATAACATGAGTTGCATTTTTTTTGGTCAAAAACTAAAAATAAATTTGCATTTCTATAGGGAATTTCCATAGGTTCTATCTATCCCACTCCTAATAACCAGATCCATCTAGAAGTTTTTCAAACCTATTTACTGAAGATGCTCAAAATATGCACTTCGTCAATGCACTGACACAATGTAATTTAGCCCTGTAAATATTCACTTTCTGGTGTCTCCACTCTCACAGGGCCCGCCTTCCAAGCTACTGAACAATAGCCGGCATTCGGCTCGGCTCGGCTATTCTGCTTGGTAACTCCGTGGTACCGAGCAGAATAGAGAAAAAGTGAAAATAGAAGAAGAAAAAAAGGTTCAAAAAATATTGTTAAAATGTTAATAAATAGTGAAATTAAAATATAAATATATATAAAAAAGAAAACAATTGGGCAGAGCTAGCAGTGACAGCTAGCTCCGCCCAACTGTTTCCTATTGGTCGGCACCTGCTAGAGTCTTCTAGCAGGTCCCGGCCAATGAATAACAACTGGGCGGAGCCAGCCGTGACATCACGGCCGGCTCCGTCCAGTTGTTATTGTTTAATGACAGATCACTGTCCCCAGGTCATTTGGGGATGCTGATCTGTCATTACAACTGGGCGGAGCCAGCCATGAGATCCCGGCTGGCTCCGCCCAGCTGTCATTTGCTAGGCTTACGGACGGCCTTCGGCGTGCCGTTCACCTTGCTTCGGCTGTCACTTCAGCTGCTGTATGGGCTATACTGAATAGCCTGTACAGCAACCCTTTGGTTCGACTGGACCAAAGGGCTCCGGCGGCCGAAGAGAGCCGAAGGATCAGCCGAAACTACGGCTGGATCCTTCGGCTCCTTCGTAAATAACACCCTAAGTCTAAGCCTCTTCACTGCGACTACATTAAAGGTGAACTTCAGATAGACATAAAAGGCAGTTGTGTATCCCTTCTGAAACCATTTAATATATATATTTACATTCCAAATAACATATATACATCAATCCGTGATATTAGCTTCCTGTCACCTCCTGCACAGCAGCACTCAGACTGGGAGACCGAGGGGCAGCACTAGGACTAATCAGACTCTGCTTCATGCACATGCGCTGACGGGGAACATACTGACTGGTAGAGAGAACAGAGTGAGCAGAACTAAGGACTTATCTCCTGCTCCTTTATTGTCCAATCTGCAGACTGAGAGCAGGGAAGGTGACACCTCTGTATTCTTTTCCTAAAAGAGAAAGCGGTGTCACCCTCCTGAATGTGCTTGCTGGCAGAGGAGTATGATTTAGAAAAGTGTTGGGACAGAATTACAAATCTTTTTGCATATAAAACACAGTATGTGTGTTTAGCTTCTCGCCCAGATATTGTATTGAGGAATTCAGGAATAGAGGGATGGTTGTCCTTCACCTTCGCTAGATGAGGGGTGGGCAGCTGTGGCCCTCCGGCTGTGCTTTAACTGCAAATCCCAAAATGCCTTTGCCTCTGGGAGTCATGCCTGTAACTGTCAGTCTTGCAATGCCTCATGGGACTTGTAGTTCCACAACAGCTGGAGGGCCGGAGTTGCCCACCTCTGGTTTAGACTCAGAACACTGCTATGGGAATATACATTTAACATTTACCTGTACACTCTGAGCATCACGTGATCGACATCCAGCATGGGGGATCCATTGTGTGTGTACCGCACTTCATCCGGCAGGAAGTTACAGTCAAATGCCTGTGAGGAAAAACAATTTATTACTGTTGGTACATTTAATACTTAAAGGAGAACTATGTGGTTAAGGCTTTTCCCCATAGTTCTCCTTAGGGTAACGGGAGGACACAAACTAGCGTCCTCCCGTCACCTAGGCTCAGTATACCACGAGCTGTAGCTCGCGGTATACTGAGACGCCGCAGTATACCGTGAGCTGCTGCTGGCGGTATACTGAGACGCCGCAGCTGAAGCGGATCCCGACAGTTGTGCCAGGATCCGCCCAGCTGCGTGAGTGACAGCTGGCTCTGCCTATGTAGAGGCAGAGCCAGCTGTACCCGCCCCCTCCCCCGTCCGTTCCGCCAGTCAGCGCTGGCGGATCGGAGCGGGGGACTAATCCAGCCCCTCCCCTGTCACGGCAGAGAGCCGTGACAGGATCGAGAAGTGAGCGAACGCCGGTATGTGTACGCTCACCTCCCGATCTACTGAGCCGACCTGTGACAGTCTCATTGTCACAGGTCGGCTAGAACTATGAGGTGAGTGAAAAGCACCCCCCCTCCCCCCCTCATAGTTCTCCTTTAATACTCTTCACTGAGTAGTATCCACAACACTGCCGCACGATGATGCCTCCGCCTCTTTAAATTCCCAATCCCCGGCGTATCCACATACATCAACCGCAAAGACACACTCAGAGCGTATTACGATGTATTAAAACCTCTGAACCTCAACAACAATCAATACGCTCACATTTGCAATGTGCACTCAGCACCGCGAACACCAACATTAGCAAATAACCTTTTATGCTTCACAACCTATTTGGTAAAAAAATATATATATTTCCGGACTGAAACATTTCCCTAATGGAATCTTTAATGCAAAAATGTGTAAATCTTGGGTGAAAGTTGTGTGAATCTAGGGTGAAAATATAGTCCCCTTTAAGATAAATATAACCTACCTGAGGAGATAGAAGTCCAACTCGTTGGGTGGTGGGCTCATTCAAGACCACTTCGACCTTGCAGGAGTCTCTGTCGCTCGGGATGTTGAAGTGTAGTTCATTTTCGGTGACGTAAACGGTTTGGCCTCTTCCCACGGTCACTCCTTGGTTGGTCACAACGAGGATGGAGGCAGCCAACACGTCCCAGGTCCACAGGAAGAGCAGGAACACCACGCCGCTGGACAAAGACATCTTATGGAGCTGACAATGGTTTGTATTCCTGGAAGAAATGTGAGGATGAAACCTCCAATGTAACATGGCCCTACATGTGCCCTCTTAGGGCCGGTATGGTTGAAGGGTAGTCCCATACTGGATTTGAAAAAGTTGCTCTGGTCCTTAGTGGGATTAAAGGTATGAGAGCTGAAGGGACCCT